ACATCTGTTTATTTTTACTAAGTGCAATAAAAGGCATTCAGAACCACACCTTTTATTGCACCTGTAAAGCTGTACAATAAACTGAAGCAGTGTACTGTATGTAGAGTGTCTCACCTTATACAGACCAGCAGTGAGTAAAGCCAGTAGAACCAACCCTCCCAAAGATCCTCCGACGATCTCTTTGGTGAAGTCTGGCACAGGGTACACTTCTACCTCTGCTTCAACCTGAGAGGTGAAGTGGAAGAGTAGGGATCAAATTCAACCTTATGTAAAATAACAGATCACAATAAATAAAACATAACAAAAATTTAATGTGCACCCACCTTGTGAACAGGAGGGTTGTTGTTAGACCCCGTTGAAAAGAAGATGTACTGGTTTCTGTCGTACTCCAGACTGGCCGTGCTGGTCAAGAGGAATTTGGCAGAAGAAAGTCCGATCTGTTTCAGAGAAAATGGAAGTCGTATGAGCCTTTTGGTTTGGTGTTAACATTTAACTGATATTTTACTACTTTATAGTCAGAGCCAGTTTTAATCAAACACTTTCTAGTCATGTACTACTCACAACTCAGTTGGTTAAGTATTAGACATACAGATCAACTACCTGCTCTATCCACCCTGAGCTAAGGTTGGCAGAGATCTTGTACACTTTCCCCTCCTGTCTTCCCATGAACCTACTGCATTTGAACACGCTGCACCTGGCTACAGAGCAGTCCTGTGGGCGATTAAAAGGAAGCAGAAAAACTTGTAATAAAGTGTCATGTACATTTCTGAATATACATATAATTAGATCCAGTTCCAACTCATAGATGGTAAAGGCATACTTACCACTGACTTAATTTTCTGTATCTGAGCAACAAAATCTGTGACAGCAGGTTTCTCATCTTTGTCTCTTTGGCAGTCTGGAATCTGAAATAGAGCCAATTCATGTCCGTTTAACAGAAAACAGGATGTGAACCTCATGTAACTACAGACATCCATCCATTCTTGAGGCTGTAGTTGCATTCAGACATTTGAGATATATTGGG